AGTACTCTATATAAAGTAACAAATATTATCAATTAATATTCTATAATGAGTGGCTAAAACTTTAAAGGAACAATATTATTTTTCGTTTTTTCTTTTAAATTATCTCATTTCTTAATTTTTACATCCTCATAGTTATAAGACATTCAGCAATTATTCATAAAACAGAATAAAATTATGATAAATTTCTGCCTTTAATACATGATATCATCTAGATACATGGCACAATAATATTAAATCAATTTTGTTGTCGTTCCTTAATTGTTTGTAAGAGGGTTTTTTCACTTTATTTAATCTTGAAGGCTTGTGCTATCTTTTATACGTTTATTCTTTTTCGCTTTTAATGATTTTTGTTTTCAAAGATAAGTTTTCTTGCACTGTGGTGTACAATTTTTCTCAAGATATTTTTCTCAAGGACTCTGGTTGCAGCTAGGACCGTAGAATGATCTTGACAGTCTAAACGGAGAGTATAAATAATTTCAGTTCCGACCTTTCCGGTCTGTCGCAAACAAACTTATAATGTTATGACAACAAGTAACAGCAATACAACTGTAAAATAGCACGAATCACAATGAATGTTATGAAAATTTAACTTTAACCACAGAATAAAAAAAAATGATACGAAAGACTCACAGATTACACAGAAACTATAAACATTATAGAAATAAGGTTTTATGTTTATGTCTTGATTTTTTTTTCTCGAAAGTCCATTGTGTTACCTAGGACTCACAATGCAGTTGTTTATCACATGCTTTGTAAAAAGCCGATACAAACAATAGAAATTCAATCAAATAGGTAACCCTAGCACACTCGCAATGTAAATGTAACAATATCGATTATTATACTAAGTTATTAGGTTTTGGGACGGTAAATTAGCCAAATTTCAGATAAGTTATACAGTAAATTTTAAACACTTTAAATACTTTAAAAATGAAAGGAAATTAAGATATGACGGATTAATATTTTCAATGAAAAAAATTAGTGTTAATTTTACTTTTTAAACAAATATGTTTTATCACAGGAGATGGACAACAAACCTTGGTTCAAATAAGTAGCATATTCTGGTCAATTGGGACTTCTGCGTTAGTTATTGGTGAAGATGATAACACAACATTAAAATATAAAGCACAAATGTCAGAAAAATCAAAGTATGTTGAGGGCACCTCGCTGTGGAGGATCGGAGTTTTTGGAGCAGAAAATATACAAGGAACTGGCACTAAATATAGTTTTAAACCTCAGGTTTTGAGTGCTGTACAACAGGCAACGCCACTACTTTTAAAGAGTAGAGATAATATACGAGAACTCAGTTTCACTGTGCCATTTCTTCGTTTTGATCGCTCTGGCATCGGTTGTGGAAAATTCAAGTATATATGCTCCGCATTTGACAAGAATGAAGATGCTAATCCAGATTATAGATTTGAAGAGTCAGCGTTGAATGTAAATTGTAAAAAGAGTAGCTGTTACAATTGTGAGTACTGTTATTTTTGTTAATATTTTATTTTAAGATAATAATAATAATAATAATAATAGTCATAATAATAATAATATTAAAATAATAGTTGTAATAATAATAATAATAATAATAATATATTTAAATAAGTATTTGATTATGGCTTAGTTACAACTTTATTATTACTATAATCAGTTAAAGAGAATTATTAAAATATAAAAAGAGTTATCTTTCGTATGTATTTACAATAACAATTCAAATACATATTTACATATATGTTTTTTCAAATAAAAATTAACTAAAGAAATTATACAAATATTTTTTTATGATTTATTATCCATTTATTAAGTTAACTAAATTAGCAGGGGTGGCGTACCAGATGTAGCAGGTACATCGGCCCTCCGTTATGGACGTGGAACCCAGAACTTCTACCCCCACCGGGAAAATCCTGGGGCCACCCCTGTACATTAATTATACCTGAATTTTATTTTTTTTACAGCTGTAAACGTGGGTTTTGACGCAGAAGCAAATAGTGCATTAACTGTTTCACAAAGGCAACTGAACAACGAAATGGATTTTGATGTGAACATAATCTCACGTGGTCCAATTGGTATAAATGGAGAAAATTCATGGAATGTAGCCGTCTACGCTACTGACAGTGCTGATGGTAAAGGTACACGCTACAACCAAGTACGACAAGCACTAAATAATGCAAAGAGCGCAACCAGACTTGTTCCCTTCACTACATCTAATATCGGTATCGTGTCATACAACTTGAATATGACTGATTTAAATTGCGAGCAAGCACAATACGTTTGTTTACATCTCACAAAATGTCAGGAATCGCAATATGATTTCATGATTTCTCCAACCAATGCAAATTTTGACGAAGATGAGAATGCTGTATATAAATGTTTCCCACTAGATTGTGACGGTAAGTTGTTTACCTTCGCTCTTATAGAGTACCACAGTCGTGTCGTCACAACGCCAGGTAGCGCCCTCTGTTGCCAACCAGAGGTTGGTTACCGTTCATAACGCCTGAATGACTTCATATATTTTCTGGAATAGGCATTTTAAAATCTAATGTTTTACCATTAAAATGTATTAGAAACAAAAATTCTCACGTTATGTTAATTATCGAACACACATTTAATCATCAGTTTACATTTACAAAGAAAAACTAAGATACAACATCTTAATATTTGCGTTAGTAATTGGGATCAATTGTTTGTCAGTGGAGAAAATGGCGTCCAGTTGAACGCATTTTGCAACGATAGCAACAGAGAAGTATCACGTGGTATCGTGATGTAACACTGTAGTACTCTATATAAAGTAACAAATATTATTAATTAATATTCTATAATGAGTGGCTAAAACTTTAAAGGAACAATTATTATTATTTTTCGTTTTTTCTTTTAAATTATCTCATTTCTTAATTTTTACATCCTCATAGTTATAAGACATTCAGCAATTATTCATAAAACAGAATAAAATTATGATAAATTTCTGCCTTTAATACATGATATCATCTAGATACATGGCACAATAATATTAAATCAATTTTGTTGTCGTTCCTTAATTGTTTGTAAGAGGGTTTTTTCACTTTATTTAATCTTGAAGGCTTGTGCTATCTTTTATACGTTTATTCTTTTTCGCTTTTAATGATTTTTGTTTTCAAAGATAAGTTTTCTTGCACTGTGGTGTACAATTTTTCTCAAGATATTTTTCTCAAGGACTCTGGTTGCAGCTAGGACCGTAGAATGATCTTGACAGTCTGAACGGAGAGTATAAATAATTTCAGTTCCGACCTTTCCGGTCTGTCGCAAACAAACTTATAATGTTATGACAACAAGTAACAGCAATACAACTGTAAAATAGCACGAATCACAATGAAGGTTACGTAATTACGTTTACCACAGAATAAAAAAAAAATGATACGAAAGACTCACAGATTACACAGAAACTATAAACATTATAGAAATAAGGTTTTATGTTCATGTCTTGTTTTTTTTTCTCGAAAGTCCATTGTGTTGCCTAGGACTCACAGTGCAGTTGTATATCACATGCTTTGTAACAAGCCGATGCAAACAATAGAAATTCAATCAAATAGGTAACCCTAGCACACTCGCAATGTAAATGTAACAATATCGATTATTATACTAAGTTATTAGGTTTTGGGACGATAAATTAGCCAAATTTCAGATAAGTTATACAGTAAATTTTTAACACTTTAAATACTTTAAAAATGAAAGGAAATTAAGATATGACGGATTAGTATTTTCAATGAAAAAATTGGTGTTAATTTTACTTTTTAAACAAATATGTTTTATCACAGGAGATGGACAACAAACCTTGGTTCAAATAAGTAGCATAGTCTGGTCAATTGGGACTTCTGCGTTAGTTATTGGTGAAGATGATAACACAACATTAAAATATAAAGCACAAATGTCAGAAAAATCAAAGTATGTTGAGGGCAACTCGCTGTGGAGGATCGGTATTTTTGGAGCAGAAAATATACAAGGAACTGGCACTAAATATAGTTTTAAACCTCAGGTTTTGAGTGCTGTACAACAGCTGTCTCTTATACACATCTGTCATAATAATAATAATATTAAAATAATAGTTGTAATAATAATAATAATAATAATAATATATTTAAATAAGTATTTGATTATGGCTTAGTTACAACTTTATTATATTTTATTTTAAAATAATAATAATAATAATAATAATAACAATAATAATAATAATAATAGTCATAATAATATTAAAATAATAGTAATTATTTAATAATAATTATAATAATAATATATTTAAATAATTATTTGATTATGTTAATTTTTATGGCTTAGTTTATACAACTTTATTATTACTATAATCAGTTAAAAAGAATTATTAAAATATAAAAAGAGTTAACTTTCGTATGTATTTACAATAACAATTCAAATACATATTTACATATATGTTTTTCAAATAAAAATTAACTAAAGAAATTATACAAACATTTTTTTTATGATTTATTATCCATTTATTAAGTTAACTAAATTAGCAGGGGTGGCGTACCAGATGTAGCAGGTACATCGGCCCTCCGTTATGGACGTGGAACCCGGAACTCCTACAGCCCACCGGGAAAATCCTGGGGCCACCCCTGTACATTAATTAAACCTGAATTTTATTTTTTTACAGCTGTAAACGTGGGTTTTGACGCAGAAGCAAATAGTGCATTAATTGTTTCACAAAGGCAACTGAACAACGAAATGGCTTTTGATGTGAACATAATCTCACGTGGTCCAATTGGTATAAATGGAAAAAAATCATGGAATGTTGCCGTCTACGCTACTGACAGTGCTGATGGTAAAGGCATCCGCTACAAGCCTGTACGACAAGCTCTAACTAGAAAACAAAGCGCCACCAGACTTGTTCCCTTCACTACAGCTAAAATTGGTATAGTTCCATACAACTTGGATATGACTGAATTAAATTGCGAGCAAGCACAATACGTCTGTTTACATTTCACAAAACGACGAAAATCGCAATATGATTTCGTGATCTCTCCAATTAATGAAGATTTTAAACATGATGCGAATGCTTTATATAAATGTTTTCCACTAAATTGTATGAGTAAGTTTTTTTAAATTCTTTCTAAGCTTCAATGTTCTTTTAAGATTGAGATCATAAGGTATATGGTACTTATATATTTATAATACTAATCTAAAATCACTATACAAGTAGAATGGGACCACAATCTAAACTAATTCATACATTAGGATTATTTAGGTTGTCCCCAATCTATTCATTAACTCTACCTTTTTAATGGCCGTGTTCTTGTATCTCTTTTTAAATTTCGGTCACTAGTATCCCATGATATAGATTCCAAAGAAAAAAAAAAACAAACAAAATGGTGAGATAAAAAATTATGATTATTAAAGCCTGGAAGATATATCCGGAATTATCTTTATAAAAATGTTCTGTACAACTGCTGCTGATGGTGGTGTCAACTGGCGGGTAATGCCGGTGGTCGTGGTAGCTTTCAGTAGCGGCCGTTTATCGTTAAACAATACATTATTTGACACCTTAAACGTTAATATTCAATTTCAATCTAATCTACGAAATAGAGCGTAATAATAACAGTATATTACTTTATTTACAGGAATATTATGGTAAACCAAGAAGGCCATGTCCCGAGATGTCTTGATGCATTCGAATGGTTTTGGGTATCGATCTTTTGGAGATTTTGCATCTTTCAATTTTTGTTTTAGAAATAACATTACGCTATAATGTTTAACTGTATTATTTTAAATATTATTACACAAATTATATTCTCTGCAAGGCATTGTATACCGTCTTAAAATGTGTAGCATGAGGCATATTAACATTATGTAACTTTATATAGTATACTCTATTGTGTATTTGTTATTTACCATAATATGATGGTGGTAAATAACTATCATAATAACTATCGTAATTAAGGTACGATAATTTTTTTTGCGATCTGACATCTTTGTATATTAATTACGATGTTGGGAAAAAATGTGTCTGTCAATTGAAAATACAGATTTACAATTGGTATTAGCAAAATAATATATACATATACATATATATATACATATATATATATACATATATATACATATATATACATATATATATATATG